CAAAAGACTAATGACAATCAAACACAAGACACTAGTAATAGTCTCAACCAACAGGATTTAACTGATGATGAACCAAGACGAAGTAAGAGAGCGAGAACATCAAAATCCTTTGGTCCAGATTTTCTGACATACCTGTTAGAAAATGAACCTCAAAGCTTTAAGGAAGTAATGACAGGTTCTGAAGCACCTTTGTGGAAAGAGGCTGTTAATAATGAAATTGAATCCATTATGCAAAATCATACTTGGGAATTGGTGGATCTTCCACCAGGTTCTAAACCTCTTGGACATAAATGGATATTCAAGAAGTCTGTGAAAACAGATGGTTCAATTGACAAGTATAAAGCAAGAATTGTAGTAAAAGGTTACAGACAAAAAGAAGGTCTGGACTATTTTGATAAACATATTTCCCCTGAGTGGCAAGAATAACAATCCATTCGCATGCTGATTTGCTATACTCCAGGCATTTGTGTTAATTTAGAAATACATCACATGGATGTTAAGACAGGATCTTTTTAAACAGTAGACTTAAATGCTAAGAGAGATCTATAAGTCTAGACTTTAAACCCGAAGGGTTGTTGTAGTACTGCGAGGGCATAGAAAAAAATTTTGATCTGTAGGTGCTAGTTTCATTGCTGTAAAATTCTCTTATGGATATTAAAACAAGCACCTAACAAGTGGCATATAAAGTTTGATCATGCTAATGCTTACTAATGAGTTTAAGATATATGAATGTGACAAGTGCGTCTATGTTAAAAACACTGACCAAGGATATGTCCATATGTTTATCTTTATGTTGGATGACATGCTTATCATTTAGAAGTATATAAAACATGATTAAATCAAACCTAAGCAAATGCTTATAGAAGATTTGATATAAAAAATATGGGGAGGGTCGCAGATGTTAATATTAGGAATGAAAATTACTAAAACATCTGACGGATATGCATTATCTTAATCACATTATATTGAGAAAATTCTTGGTAAATTTATCAAGGATGATATGAATGTAGCTAGAACACCTGTAGACATCAGTATTTATTTATCAAAAAATAAAGGTGATGCGATCTCTCAGTTAAAATACTCCAAAATCATTGGAAGTCTAATGTACCTAATGAATTGCATTTGTCCTGATATAGTTTATGCTGTCAGTAAATTGAGTCGGTACACTAGTAATCTTGGAGAAGACCACTAGAAAGCGATCATTCGAGTTCTTAGATACCTAAGATTTACCCGTAATCATAGTTTGAACTTTATTCGATATCCAATAGTACTCAAAGGTTATTGTGATGCCAATTGGATATCAGATACTAAAGATTCAAAATCCACTAGTGGATATGTCTTTACTTTTGGAGCCATTGCTGTTTCTTGAAAATCTACGAAACAAACATGTATCGCATGATCTACAATGGAATCTGAATTCATTGCTTTAGACAAAGTAAGAGAAGAAGCAGAATAGCTTCATCACTTCTTAGAAGACATTCAAATGTGGTCAAAACCTGTGCCAGCTATCTGCATTCACTGTGATAGTCAATCTGCAATAGGTAGGGTACAAAATTATATGTATAATGGTAAGTAACGATATATTCGTCGTCGACATAATACTGTAAGGCAATTACTCTCAAATGGAATAATCTCAATAGATTATATAAAATCTAAAGAGAATATTGCGGATCCGTTAACAAAAGGTTTGACAAAAGAGCAAGTGTATTGTTCATCGAAGGGGATGGGATTAAAACCTATTACATAAGAGTCATCATAATGGTAACCCTATATATATGATTGGAGATCCCCAGAACTAAGTTCAATGAGACAACTAAGTTATGTGTGACTCGCCAGAAATCACAAAGGATTAAAATTCCATACCCATTCTTATGATGAGAGTGATATCTGCAACATGTGTTGTCTGCAGGGGTCTAAGGATAAGCTTTGTTTTTAATAATTACTTATATCTTGATTAAAGCATAAAAATCAAGACGAGTATAAGGAGATAATCACAATAAGAATCACCTATATGAGTGTTGAACTGGGGCCGGTTCTATGAGAATGAAGAAGCTAAATTCTCTAGAAAGCACTCACGAAAACTAGGAGTGTTCAAGGCCAAAATGAACACAACAGTGAGAACCACGATGTGTTAGAAGATATTTTGTGTGAAATCTATTGTCTTGGCTTACACCAACGGCTGAACAATTCAAGGCATCGTGTCCATTGGTTAGCTAGTAAGTCCGATAGGTTATCACTAGGGAAGGTTCAAGGCCGAAAGTTACATATCTTGATGTAAGATATTTTCAATTTATACTCTTTCGACAAAGCTTGTATATTGTTGCATTTGCATTGTCATCAAATTCCATTAATGTGAGGGATTGTTAGAAATGTTTTGAAAAAAAAATTTGGGTAAAAACAGAATTTTTTTCTTAACTTTGGTCTATTTTTTAGGTGGGACCTGTGCACCAAAGTTGGCGGGTCTAAATGGTAACGCGTTCCATGTTGCGTTGTGATTCACGTGGTATATTTGATAGCTCAAAACCATTATTGGGTGAATGAAAAATTGAAGCCAAAGTGAGCTCCATGTAAATGGAGTTTTTGGTGAAATTCCTTTAAGGTTTGAATATTGGCTTGTCCCACATTGATTTGGTGGGAAACTTTGAGTGGATTTATAAAGCTTGGACTTGGAACTTGGGGTAGGCTCCAAGGGGCACCCAAGTTTTGTACAAAGGGAGGTTATGGGCTAGACCCATTGGACCCAAAAATTACCACACGTGCGCGCCGTTGCAACCATCCGTCTGGTCTGCTGGGCTGGGCTTAGGTGCAGGTGCGTGGTGTGAGGTTGGGTTAGGCTTGTCCGGCCCAATACATATCTATTTGGGCAAAAAATATTTGAATTTTATTTTTCTAATTTTTTGAATTTGAATTTTGAAAATTAAATTCGAAATTGTGTCCGTTTTTCCCACCCGAACAGAATTGAATTTCAAAAAACCCGGACAAATTCAAATATGTTCAATTTGGTTTTAATTTGTTCAAGTTTGAACCCAAATAGTACCAATTTAAATATAACAGGTACAGTACATGTTCAAACAGGTATGCTACCTGTTCAATTTAAAATAAAAAGGTGCCACTACATCTATAAATAGACTAGCCCTCATTTGATGTTTCATTCAATTTTTCCATCCAAAATATTGTTTGCCTTCTCTGCATTTTGCTGCATCTAAATTTCTGTGAGAGAGAGTATAAACATTTTGTGTGTTCTTTGTACGAAAAATTTGTAGTGCTGCTATTTTTCGTTGATTGATCATTTTATCCTGGGAGATAGACGTCCATATTCTGAAAGTACCGTGAAGAGGACAAATCTATTTTAAGGACACAGTGTCTGACACTGGACTTGATCAGAATTTTGTTCAAGAATATAATCAAGTAAGTTGTTTATTTATTTTCTGTTTTTATTTATTTATATCAGATTTTGATTTTGTTTATTGTAAAAAAACAAAATCTGTTTTTATTTATTTAATTTTATCGATTTGATTTTTGTAATTAAACAATCTCTCTTCTTTCCTATTTTTCTTTTGTATTCTGTTTATTATTTAGTACACAAACAGAGTTATTTATTTAACTACAGTGAAGATTGTCTAACATAATTAACACCAAACAATCTTTTAAGGGACTGCCCTTATTGCAGGAAGTTTGCTTTCACGCCCTCCACAATGCCCTTCTATCTCTTGAGATAAGATTGTAAGCCTTGGCATGTTTTATGTATAGGCCAAGTAGATTATGCAGTCAATCAACAACTCCACATCCAGTTGTCACAATTTTCCTTATCAACAATCCCAAATGCCTAGTTCAAAAATAAATAAATAAATCCCAAATGCCAATGGAAACGGGGCAATATCTCAATCAAAATTAGTTGTAAAAAGCAATGTTCCTAGGTACTGTGTCTATCAAAACCAGTGGGTGACATCTTTCGAAACCCACAAGTTAATGCATGAAAGGAAACACATTTAATGCATGAAAGGAAACACATTTAAGAGCATCTCCAATAGTATAATTAAAAAAGTATGTTAAAATGTTTTACATGACAAATAATGTGAAAAATTGAATTTATTTACGTGTGTTAAGTGTTTGTTAGTTTAGAGAGTGAGTGTGCTCTCCAATGATATGTTAAGTGTTTATTAAAGTATAGAATATGTAAAAGTGAGATCCTTATATATTTATATTTATATATTTATAAAAGGTAAAATAATAATAAAAAAAAGAAGAGGAGGATAGCAACGATGACTATTTTCTACAATCTATCATATCTCTTTCTCCTCTCTGCCTTGTGCAGAGCTTTGGCACTCTTTCTCTCTCCTCTCTTTCTCTTGCTTGCTGGATCTCCACAATAGAGGCATTTAGGGCAGATATGGCATTTAAAAAATATGACATAATTAAAATCTATTAATCAACTTAAAAGGTCAACTAATGGGGGTTTATAATGCAATTATAAATTTGGAAGAGAGAGGTGTGATTTCCACAATTAGTGGTGTATTAATGCATTAGGATAAAACCTCTATAGAGGTGCCAATGTAATTTACACTGATTAAATTATAAGTTGGATAAAATATTTGTAAAAAATACAGTCAGTCATATATTTTTGACATAATTATATTAACATATATTTCAGTAAGATTAAAGTGACATACAAATGAAAATAAATAAGTATACATTTTAGTAAAAAAGATATGATAATATCATATTTAATTCATACAATTAATGAATTATTGATAAAAAATGATTTAACTATCATGTAAATTAAAATTTAAAGAAAAACTAATGTAACTGTATGTCAAAGCTGAGACTAACTGTTCTTTCACTAAATAACAGAGGTGAGTGTAATTTACCCAAATAACTTTTAGGGGATTTAAATGGAAAAATAAAAAAAATTAAATGGTCAAATTGAAATTAAAGCAAAATTGTAGGGAGTAAGTTTAGAAAACTATAAAAGGCTGTTAAACCTCTCTATAAACGATACGCAAACTCTTAAAACCTAGCGTCTTCGTCACCGGCCGGAGCAGAAGCTGCAGCCTCTCTCTCTCTCCCTCTCTCTCTCTCTCTCCAAATTGAAGCTGCGACGGAAGTTCAGGCCGTGAAGTATGGCGACGGCGGCGGAAGCTCAGGCCGTGAAGTCTCTAAACAAATCTCCAGGTCGCAGGCGCTTTGTGGTAAGGATTTTTCCTTGGTATTTATTTTTGTGTTCTGGTTTTCCCGCTGTTTCTTAGCAACCAAACAGAAAGAACCAAAATAGAACTCTTTTTAGTTTTCATTTTTTATCTCTGTCTTTCGTTTTTAAGAATTGGTATATGGCGTTCAAGTGTTTGGATTGGATTCTTTATGTGCAGTTCAAGACTTTCTCTCAGCGTATTGAGGAAATTGATGTTGATGTCTTCCGAAGTCTCGATCCTCTCAAGTCCGAGCCCTCCGAAGGGTCCTCTTTTTTCCGGGACTGCCTTGTTGAGTGGAGGGTATGTATTTTTTTAACCTTTATTTTAGTTATTTTATTTTATTTTTATTATACATTTTTTTAATGAATTGTTGCATCAATTTTGCTTCATATTCAAATTTGTTTTTTTGTTTAAATTACGATGTTAAGAGGATAGAAGCAGTTAAGAATGACACAATTTACCTGTAAATGGGCTGGGGCACATTGTAGTAACTTATAACTTATTTATTCACTTCATTTGTACTGGATATGATGACAAAGAATGCCGCAAAGATAAGCTTAATATGGTTTAATTTTAAATATTGTTCCTATGCGGGTGAATAAGGGAGATGAAGAAGAAGGATGACGAGCAAGAAATTACAACACAGATAAAGAGAAAAGAAAAGATCATAACTGAATAATTAGTTCAAAGATGTGGTAACAGTCAATGATTACATCCCTCTCTTCCAAAACAATATAAATGCAATCACTCTATAAATCATTAATTTCTTCAACAACTTTCAACTTCATGAGGAAAAAAAGAAGAGACATTAATTCAAACATGAAACAATAACACAACTTACTAAGTACAAGTTATTAGACAAATATAAATTAAGGTAGTTGAATTGGAAGCTTTCCATTTTATGGCAAGTTCAAGTGACTTTTTGACCTCCCACTAAACCACCATAGCATTCACTTGGGAGTGATATAGATGCCATGTTGGCACTACTTCAATTTTAAAATAAATGTTTTTGATTGTTTATAATAACAAATTTGGATTAAAGGCTTTCCACAGTTCGCTACCTCTCCCATGCTTCTTCCTTCTAATGCTCAGCCACTATCCACTTGTGCCACTAGTTCACCTGGCTGATTCAATTTTTGTTCTGTTCTTTTTCCATTTTAAAATTGAAGTAGAGTTGCGATAGGGAAACACAGGAGTAAAGAATATGGTGGTTGTTTCATCTGTTGAATGTGAGAAGGTATTTGAGTCACCTGTTTTTTTGGTCCTAAGGATGCTTTTAGGAACAAGGAATTTGTTCTTTTCCATTTTCCCCCCCTGAGAGCGAAACAAAGCTGTCTTGCCGTTCATGGAGTCATGGGCACCCTTTACACATATGGTCTGGCATGTTGTGTTGGTCAGTTGACAGATTGGAGGAGACTATCCCTTATTTGAAATCATAAAACTTAAATTTATATGAATTACTTAAAGAATGAAGGATGTAATTCTTTTGTTGTTGTTGATCAAAAAAATAAAAAAATAAAAAAAATAAAAAATGAATGATGTAATTCTACCAATTATTTCGGCACCTTCTTATATTGGAAGAAAGTGCTACAGTGTCCACAAGCAAAAAAAAGGTGCATTAGTGTAATTGGTTTAATCATTCAGACAGTTTGTGACCGTGTGTTGACCGTTGAGGGGAGTGAGGAAGGTGTGCAACATTGCTTCTATACGTTTAACATTTTTCCTATGTAGAGAGATGCTTGAGGACTGTTGAGGGCTTGAGCTCTTTTTCACAAGCTTATGGGATTGATGTTGACTACTTTATAATTTTGGTTGTCATAGTGGTGTATAGCATGATAACAAGCAAAGAATCAATCTTGTAACATTCAGTGGTGCTTTGATTTTGACATTGCTTGTTTAAGTTAATGTTTAATATGACACTATTTGTATGTTTCATCTGGCTAGTATGCTGCTATCAGACTATCGTTTCTTATGTTTTTTGGAGTTAGAGGCATTCTGATAATTTGATTTTGGGCTGTAAGTGGGCTTGGGTGAGCTCAATTATGTATTTTTGGTCAAACTTAATTGTTTGTTGTGCTCAATAAATATGGTCCAAGTGCTAGTCTTAGATTAGTTGGCCACCAAGTGATGCAGGAAAAGTGTGTCAAAGCACTTCCCTAGGCATTTTGTAAAATTTATGTATTTACTTAGGCCTCGTTTGGGGACCTTGGTTTTTAGCCTAAAAGTCACTACAAATTGTTATCACTTTCTAATTTTCTACACATCTTTTCTTAAAAAGCCAACTAAAATTGCTGTTTCCCAACGGGGCCTTAAGGCCATTCTTAGCATTTATAGTTAGGCATTTTAGGATTTTCCATGAGGGGCTTCATTTGTGCTTCATCTTAGTGATTTTTCCAATCACCCTAGAGTTTATGTGCTATAATGCTATCCAAAACACAATGGACTGCATTTTTTGGGATATCTAAATGGCCCATTATTTTTATTGATGTTTTGTTGTGCAACTTCTATTAATTTCCTTATCTTCATCATCTAGGAATTAAACACTGCGGATGATTTTATTTCCTTTTATGAGGAGATGATGCCCTTGGTGCAAACATTACCACAAATAATACTGCAGAAGGAATTGATATTGTCGAAACTTATTTCTAGATTGCAAATGAAAGGGAGACTATCACTTGAGCCCATACTCAGGTATTGCAAAATGTTATGAACTAATTTAGTGCATTGAAATTGATGTTTGAGAATATGGAATATTAATGTTTGCTGGAACATAATTTGTATGTTTTGTTTGTTCTTTATTTTCTTTTTAATGTTTCTTTTTCTAGTTGATGAATATGCTTGGTTATTGATTGCAAATGATCACTGAAAAATGGTCACTCTCATTTTTTCTAGTGATTGTGCCATGAATATCACCAATTCATGCAATGTTATAAACCAATAAAAATAAAAAAAAGAATTCTTGGAACGTTAAATTTTCCCAAAACAAAAGAAGAATTTCATAATTTGGGTGTGGTGGGTTTCAACGCAGCCACCTATTATCTTGGGCTACTCATTTCCAGAGGGGCAAGTATGCAGTTCAAGTCCTGTTGTAACATGAGTGCGTGATGCCACTGGGAGCATGAAATGAGAAGGCAGATCAACCGTGGTTTTCTGCATATAGAGAAGGCATTTGCTGCATGACCTTAAAGTTATTTAAATTTTCATGTCTCTGTCTTTGAGTTTTTTCATGATTTTTTTTAATTGTATTTGCACTTTTCCATTGGCCCTTGTTCAGTTAATGATGGAGGTACAAAATCCTAGATGTTCCTCTTCTCTTTTATCTTTCGTAGTCTGCTACTAATGAGAAATTTATGTGCTGCTGAAGTGAATACTGGTGTCTAGTGGGGACTGGGGACAATGCTTGTGTTTTTTAGTGCAAAATGGGGGAATTGGTAATTCAATCTAATTGAAGTAATGAACACAAAGTTTATGTACTTTTAAGAGCGCCATGTATGAATCCTCCGTATTTACCACTACCTTTTAGATGTCATGCCCACAATATAATATGTATTCATATCTAGATCATATGATTCCTCAAAGTGGTATTTTCATTTCTCAAGTTTTTGTACCAAATGGTTATAAAAGTTGCTAATATGCTTAAATGAAATTATTTTGGTCAAGTCTTGAATGGGGTAAACTTTTTCTTTTTATTTTTTCTGATGTTAAGTATAATTAAATTTTTGCTCGTATTTGTGCTTTCTCGATTCGACCCATTCTTTTTCTTATGACATTTTTTTTTGTGGGCAATTGGTGGTTTCCTTCTACAGGTTGATAGCAGCCTTGTCTAGAGATCTTCTGGAGGACTTTCCCCCGTGAGTTCCTTCTTGACTTAAATTGATTATATCATTAAGGCTACTGAGCATTGTATTTCATTCACTGCTACTTATTTTTACATTTACTGTTAGTTGGTAGGCGTTTGATTCTTATTATTGATGGTCTATGAAATCCTCATCCTGTGATGTAATGAATAAAATTTTTTATCAAAAAAAAAAATAAAATTTATGAATAAAGAGTTGTTGCTTATAGTACTGTAGGATATGGTTTTCTTTGTGTAATGCATTCTTGTGCACTTGAAAATGTTTGCACTTGAAAATGTTTTCAGCTTCCTGCAGAGGGTAGCTGATTCTCTGGTATCTCTTCTCAAAAGTGGAGCTGATAGAGAACCAGAGATAATTGAGCAGGTCTAAGCTGGAATGATCTTGAGAAGTTTTTTACCTGTCAATTCTAGTCTTTTATATCTATCTGGTAATTATTTTGATACTAAAAATGTGGGATTTGTGACAGATTTTTACATCATGGTCGTATATCATGATGTATTTGCAGAAATATCTTGTACGGGATGTTGTCCATGTTCTCAGGTGTGTTTCAATTCTCATTGTTTGGTGGACAAAATGTAAAACATATGTGGATTATTACAAACAAGACCTAAGAATGTTCTAGATATTATTTGGAAGTTAAGAATTGTAGGTAAGAGCAAGAAAATAACCTTAAATCATTTCAATATTGAACACCAATATGATAATTGTTTTGGGAAGGTGTGTGTGTGTGTGTGGTTGTGTTGGCATAGATCAAACTACATGAGATATCCCCTAAAAGAATACTTAAGTTGCCGTTAGTGTGTTGAACAAATTAATGAGAAACAAGCTGATGGTCTTTAAGTTGTTGCATTAACTGAAGAGATCAGTAAAAAGTGTAATCATTTTAAACACCTCAAAAATGGTCCAACAGGGTGCTCCCAAAGTTTATTTATTTATTTTTAATGAAATTTTTGTTTTAAGTACTCATAACCGAGATGGGTCCCTCCCTGCTCCAAATTTACCTTTGGTATTTTTATGAGATTTCTCCCTGTCAGCATTGGCGTGGCAGATTCTTTTCAACTCTATACTTGTTCTCAATGGTGTCTGACTGTGATGCATGTTTCGCCGCTTTCATAAACTTGTATGATGTATGCACCTAAGTTTACTATAGCAAGTGCAGAACAAGTGCTGAATGATGCCTCTGTCATGGAACCTTTCTCAAAATTATCACTTCCTTTACTGTTTTAATTGGGTGTTCGAAAACCCAATAGGGTAGTTTGATGTTCTCATGAAGAAAAAATATAGTTTTGCATTTAATTATGGCCTATGAAGCACGACCACCTCTCTGGAGGTCACATATGAGTGTCTGACATGTGTCGGACACGGACAAGTGCTGGACACATGTCAAACACATTGGACAAAGTTGGACACGCTGGGACATTTGGGACACACTGCGGACACGGACTATTTTTTTTTTAAAAAGCTTGTAAGTTTTAATTTTTTTTACTAAAATAACATACCTGAAGTTGATAAATTTAATAAAATTAGATATTTGACATAAAATACATATTAAATATTTAAAAATATGACATAATAAATATATAAAATAATATTTTTTTGCATGTGTCCCCAATGTGTCGTGCCCTGCATTTTTTGAAAATTTACGTGTCTGCATGTCCATGTCCGTGCTTCTTAGATTACGGCTAATTCACAGGCACATGTATGTTCTTTTGCTTATCTGTATGAAACGCTTAATGTTAAATATGGTTTACTTACGGGTTTTTATGTGTTAAAATAGATGTATAAAAGAAATAGAGAATTGTATTATTGATTAATGTATGCTTGTTGTGTTGTAATATTGATATTACAAGGATTCCTATTATATAGAAGAGGATTTGGGTAGTAGGTGAGGAGTAGGTGAGGGTAAATTGGTGGTAGGTGTAGTAGGTGTGGTAGTAGGTGGTGGTAGGTGTAGGTAAATTTTAACATTATGGCTTCTGTGTAAACACCTTTTGTTGATGTCCTTGGTTGGTATATTTTTTGCACTACAGTAAGATACAAACCGCTTCAAGTCCTTGGTTTGTTCTTATCCTCAGAAATCTATTGGGGAACCATATTTGAATTATGCTCTTTTTCTTCTTGATTCTATGATCTTTAAGATACCATATTTTAGCTCTTCTATTCTAAACAATTGTTTGGGCTAGTATTGGTTTGGTTCAGTAGAATACCACTTAGATTTATTGTGGATACTGACTGAGTTGATATATCACTTCTAGATGACTGTTATCTTTGTTTTTAGTGGCACCCTATCTTTGTCAATCTATATAGCTCATGAGTAACAGGAACTTAGAATCTGTCTTGAACACTTCGGAATCAATTATTTACCATCAAATTGTCATTGACAAAAGCAGTTAAATGGTGATAGTTCAAATCTAACTGTTATGACTCAGCTGAATCATCCTGTAAGAATACTCTGAGAAGAATTGTTTTTGCATGTTCCCTATTTGGGGGGTCTGTCTCTGTTGTGTATTGGGTCTGATGTACTCTCTCCATACATATGAATGTCTATGAGGACTTGTATGTATTGAGTTGCTGATATGTAATGCTCTTACTTTTTTGAAGGGTTACAGGCAAACTAAGATATTATCCCAAGAATTATGTCCAAGAATTTATGGCTGAGGCAGTGTCATTCTTGTTGAGAAATGCACCTATTGAGCAGCTTATAAAGGGTATTATCATGCTTTATTTGAATTTTGTACCTAGTGAAAATATCTTCATATACAGCTTCAACTGGTTGAAGCTTCTAAGTATAACATTGATTTTAAGGCTTGTGTGCATGTAGTTTTTTTATTTTTATTTTTTTATGTACTATGAATCTTTGGTTAAATGGAATGACCAACTTTGCTCTACGGTCAGAAACATTTGCTTTTTATTTGATGAATGCATTTAAATTTGGCTGATAGCTGGAAGGTTCATAGTTGGCTTCCATTGTTTTATTTGTTTATTTACTTTTAATTTTTAGTTTTTGTTAGATGAATGCATTAAAATTTTGCTGATATCTGGAGGGTTCATGGCAAGCTTCCAGTGTTTTCTTATCTTTCTTTCTTTCTTCTTTTTTTAATATATATATATATATATATATTAGGGTGGGGGGAAGTGGATTGGGAGTGTCTAAGACAAACATGTTGTAGTGTTACTCTCTGGATTTACTGAGCATGTTGTAGTGTTACCCATCTCCAACAAATTGCAAAATTATCAAAACGTACGTAACCAGTAAAACTTAATAAAACATGAATAAATCATACTAGCATCTTACTTTCTTATAAAATTGTAAAACAAGACTCAAATTAACCCTAAATATGATTGTGTAAAGCCTTAAGGGTTCTCCGTGTGAAATTCCATGTTTTCCCTTCTTATTTTTTCCATGCTTTGTATCAACATGTGCATACTATATTGATTTAAGCCGACATTATCTAATGCATTAATAGTCTGTACTTCTATTTTATCTTCTTATTCGTCTTTGCTCACATGCTCTTATTTGTCTTTGTTGGCTGTGGGCTCAGCTTGCTCAGATAACCCGTGTTAAGTTTACATGTGGAAGTATGTACAAGATAGATGCACATATGTTTATGTAGGTTATTAGTTCATAGTTGGACAATGGTTTACATATTGCTTTGTTTAGTGGGTTTTTGTTATATAACGAAGACTATCAAGGATTAATATTTGAGTTAAACAGGTACTAGAAAAGTCATGGTTGAAGTTGCAAAGAAACCACTGGTGTTTAGAAAATCTGGAGTCAGTGCTTTACTATGGTATGTTTTGAGAGGAACTTCATCAAAGTTGCATTCAAGAGCAGAGCAAGTGTTACGATTATTGGTGGACAACTCGATAATTGGTATTGGTGATAAATTTGCCCAAGGTAAGGTCTTTTTCTGAGACAACTTTTATATTTGCTGTTTTATACATTTCTCATTTGTTTACTTCCTTGTCCAATGCATGTTGTTCACAATTGATATTGTCCTAGTCAATAAATTAAGGAAGGAATTAAAACTAAATTAAAAATCTGGAGAGAAGCACTTGGGCCAAAAGGGTTTATAATTAGTGGAAATAAAACTAAATGTATGGTATGCAACTTTAGTGTTAGTAGACGTAGAAATACTGGGGAAGAGAAGATTGAAACCAGGAGATAATAAATAGTGAATATTTTGTAACCGAGGTTCGATAATTAATAAGGACGGTGAGGTTGGAGATTATGTGATCTATAGAATCAAAGTAGGTTTGCTCAAGTGGATGAGTGTGTTTGACATATTATGTAATCGACGAATACCGACAAAAAAGAAATTATTTTTATAGTACAATTATAAGGCCAACGATGCTTTACGGGAGTGATATGATCATCATAAATGGAAATGTTAGGGGGAGGGAATGACCTAAACTGACATGAGATGCGGTAGTAAAAAATGATACATGGATTTGTTTAATTAAACCGAGTATATATCCTTTGATAAAGCAGAATGGCAGAAAAAGATTCATATAATTGACCCCACTTGATTGGGACACAAGGCTTAGTTTGGTTTGATTCGGTGACTGACTAAAGAGAAGTAGGTTGTGGAACTGAATGCAAAACCGATATAAAATTATGTAACTTTACGATCAGATGAACTTCAATGCTCCTTATGGATTTAAAACATTTTCCATCTTGTGCTTTTGAACATTTTGAATAGACATTTGTCAAAGTATGTTGGTGAATTGTTTGATTTCTCTTTCCTTTGTAGGTCAATGTTTAAAAAAATTTCATGAATTTTACCAGAAGTAAGCTGTACTTGGTTCTGAGTGCTGTTTGTGTGCAGGCTCAGACTCTGTGGTTGAAGTTGTAACTGCTGCCTTTCAAAGGCTATGTGAGGAACTTGAGCCTACTGAGTTGAATTTGATGTGGGGTTGTTTATACGAGGAAATAACTGATGCTGTATCTAATGGATGCTTGTTGCACCTCAGTCGCCTGTTATCCTTGCTGATTTCTACTGTTCAAATCGATTATGTCCGGAAAATTTCTGGTGGGCTATAATTAGTTTTGATTATTTGTTCCTTTGTTTTGCTTGTAATGGCTTTAATTATATTGTCTAGATATGTGTGCTTATTAACCTGTCATGTAATTGTTCATATGTTGTACAGATTACCAACTTATGCTTCAAGTAGTTGGGGTGCTTATGCAGAAGTTTATATTGCCTGCGAGAATACTGAAGACGGAAGACCAGTCTACTGAAGTTGTTGATAAGGTTCTGCAATTAATGCTTTGCATTCTTGATGGGCTTCATCTAGCCGATAATGTGCCAGTTCTTTCTAGTGTTTCTGTGCAGTGGGCTCCTGTGTTTGATTTAAGGAATTCAAGGTATTCCCTTTGATGTAATGGTTGACATGGTTCTCTTTTCATTCTACAGTGCTCCCTTCCACCTTGTCTTTGTTTCAATGGTTATCTTTGACATGTGACTTGATTTTCAGTTTACTGACTTTTATCAAACAATTGCTATTGAAAGATCCTCGTGTAGTCCATGCCTTCAGACAGAATACCATACGGTAACATTTCAATTACCATTGCATATTACATGGATGTTTGTGTTGTTTTCTCTCTTGGTACTTATTTATTTGGCCGCTCCAATTGGATTCCAGTGCATTGAATGATTTAATAGAAACTTCAGAGGAAGAAGTTGTACCTTTGCTACTTACCTTCTGTGAAAGACTAGAAGTTCAAATTCAAAGCTCCAGCTTCATAGATGGAACATCCAAAGAAGAGGTTTCGAGGATTTGCAGTTACTTGCCGGATGCTATTGGCTACTGGATTGGGATTATCAATCAAATTGTGCATGGTGATTCATCAGTCATTCAACTTCAGGAGACTAAATTGGCTTTGCTGTGGGGAATAATTAGCTGCTATCCTTACATGAAAGACATCCAAGCAGACCCATCCTTATTACTTGATTTTGTAGATACACTTAGTCGGCTTCTGGCGATTGAATCTGGTAAGCATTTTGTCACGGTTCACTATGACATTGAAACACCATACTTTTGGAGAACCCAATGTAATGTGGTATGCTGTCTTTGGTGGCATATCGACATGAAATAATTAAGTGCCAAAGAGTTGTTAAGATCCTTGTGTACCTCAATCCCCGCAAAGGGGCTTCTGTTTGGAATCATAGACCTTCGTTCCTGGATATTTAATCTCCCTTTGGTTATTTTTTGGCCATATGAAAGAATTTGATAAAAATAAATGGTTGTTTTGTAATTTTTTTTATTGCCTTTTTGCCAAGAAACATTATTTGGTGTTCGATTATAATATATATTTTTTGAATTGTGGTTTCTTCAATCTAGTTGTACCAGCTCTTAGATATGTTTTTGGTTTGTAGCTGGTGATTTATGTCAGGTTTTTCAGACAATATTGCAGGGTTTCACAAACACACTTGGGAAAGCCTAATTGGTGCTGCTTTGAGTTCCTATAACAAAATGCGTTCTGGTAACATCAGAGATGAAGAAGTGAGCAAATTTTTGCAACTTGCTAGGAGATACACGTTCTCATCACAAATATTATCTTCTGTAGCTGATTTTTTGGATTCCATGGACGGGTAAGTTGGTTTTTGTCTCCAAAATTGACAAATTTTTGGAACCTTTTTTTCCCTTCTTCATCTGTTCTTTTATTTTATTATGTTGTAGTATTCGTTGATTATTTTTTGTTAATGAAAAAGAGCTGAATGTTTTTATTAACCTTTTTACAAATTATGCAAACGAAGGCCTAGCAATGTTGTATTGCATCCAGACCTCAAAGCAGAGAAGGCTATGGAATCATTGGCCATTTTTGCTGAGAATTTGTGCCACTCAGACAAACTGATCCGTCATTCCACCCTAAGAATATTGTGCCATTATGAACTTCTAAATTGTGAGCATGCTTCTGAGGATCAGCATGCTGAGAAAAAAATGAGAACTGAAGTTTCTCAATCTTGGTTTGCTGATGACCGGGGCAGTAATGTATGTACTTTTCTTCTTTGCCGCTGTTGCTTTCATTAAGCTGAATAAGTAGTGAATTTGAGATTGATTTTTGTTCAAATATCAGGTTCTTCAACTCCTTCTCTCCATTGAGGAAACACCTCTTTCGGTTACTACCAGCAGGAAAGTTATCCTATCGATTTCAAGAATACAGATGGGCCTCTCTTCTACAAATATATCTGAAGCATATTTGCCCTCTGTTTTTTATGGGATAATTGGCATCTTCCATAACCGATTTAGCTATCTATGGAACCCAGCAATGGAGTGCCTTGCAGTCTTGACAAGCAAGTATTTTGAAATGGTATGGGATATATTTGTTCAGTATCTGCAACAATGTGAATATAGTTTTGTGTCATCTCATGATCAATCTGACGGAAGCAAAACTGTATCTACTATCCAGTCCAGTGGTATGTGCCATCTTTTCTCCGTGGCTCTTTCTGGCGAGTTCTTTTAAATCCATGCATGAATGACTTTTTACAGATCATGTTTTGATTTCAGTTGTTTCCATTTGGTGCATATTAATAAATATAAATGCTAGTCCTACTGCACTTTTTTATTGAAATATTCTTGTCTTGAGCCTAAACAGAAATTAAAAAAAAAAAGTTAATATGTTTACACCGCTTCTCAAACAAATGACTACTGAATTCAAACTACTCTGTCATCAATGATTATTTATGTGATTCATATTTTAGAATTTAACTTTTACCTGGTTTTTCTTTTCAGATTTGGTTGAACGTTTCAATCTATTTGTCTCTCCGCCATCTGACAGCAACCCTGGCACAACAGTTTGGTCCTTGTTGATCCAGTCTTTACAAAAAATTCCAACTGTCATAGAATCTCGATCTCGGCAAATTGTACCTTTGTTCTTGATGTTTATGGGTTACAATATGAATGATGTTGTGAGGTACTTTTTTGTGGTTTTTGTTCCTCAAATGTTTCAATTTTTTTTTGAAGATTTGAACTTATGCAGGTCTTCCCTTCATATTGTCTAATTTGAATTGGTCTTGCTTTTTACATAAAAATTGCAGTGTAGGATCATTCAACCAGCATGCTTGTAAAGGGAAAGAATGGAAGAGTGTCCTTAAGGAGTGGTTGAACTTGTTGAAATTGATGCGAAATCCCAGGTCCTTCTACAAGGGTCAATTTCTTAAGGAAGTTCTGCAATATAGGTTTGTAAAATTCTGGGTGCTGCATTTTTTGTAATTCATCTAATGATTTCCTCTCATATCGTTTCATTGCTATGTTACATAGAGCTGGGTTTGAGTGCCGAATGTGGGTGCTGACTGCCGTGACATTGGACTTTCCCAATCCCTAAATCTTAAAATGTTGAGACATGTATCCTAAAGTTGACTATGGCTACGTGGACACATCCTGAACTTTTAAATATATATTGCATCTTGTATATTATTCCGGCATGAGATGCTACCATTTAGGAATGTACTTTAAATTTAATGGGATTTAAGAGAAGATGGGGATTTCTATCTCCCATCCATATGAAAGGCTATTTTTTTTTTCTTTACTGTCAATTGTGAACTTATTATTCAATTTTGCAATGACCTTTCCTTTAGGTTACTGAGCAGTTTGACTTTCCCCATTCTATAAGCTCATCTCTAAAGGTTCGTAGATCATAAAAAATTAAGAGGATCCAAGTGTATGATTCGGGTATGGGGGTTGGACACATATATATCATATCTTTACCCTTGTCATTTCCCGTGGATACAGTTAAACTACTGGGAAAAGGAGTTCCAATAACAATGCTCTTTAGGTATTTCAAACATTAGAACCCAACTTATTAGTTGGTCCATGACTTGGCAATCAATTTCATTTTGGTTTGTTTTTCCAGGCTTCTTGATGAAAATGATCCTGAGATACAGATGAAGGTTCTTGATTGCTTGTTGAATTGGAAAGATGATTTTTTACTCCCCTATGATCAGCATCTGAAAAATCTGATCAGTTCAAAGAGTCTGAGAGAGGAACTAACAACGTGGAGCTTGTCGAAAGAATCTAATCACATTGAAGAACATCATAGAACTTATCTTGTACCTTTAGTTACCCGAATTTTGATACCAAAAGTCCGAAAACCGAAAACACTGGCATCTCGAAAGGTATGTTTATTAGATCTTTGGACTTGATAATTTAGCTGTCAGAATTCTCCATGATATTTGTGTTTTAATTTAATTTAATTTTTTTTAACCATTTCTAGATAACACATTTTGTTCTTTTGTTTATTTATTTTCCAGCATACAAGTGTACATCTTCGAAAGGCAGTCCTTGGATTCCTAGCTCAACTCGACATCAATGAGCTTCCTCTGTTTTTTGCCCTGCTACTCAAGCCATTGCTAAGCATTTCAGAAAGATTTGATGGGATCAGTAAATGGTTTTTGAGTTCGTCTGAATGGTCTAAAGACGAATTTGACTCATTTGGTCTTTTGAAGTACTTCACCATGGATAACATATTGGCCATCTCTTGGAAGAAGAGATATGGTTTTTTGCATGTAATTGAAAATATTCTTGGTGTTTTTGATGAATTTCATGTTAAACCATACCTTGATTTGTTAATGGGATGTGTTGTCCGCATATTGGGGAGCTGCACATCAATTCTTGAGAGCGGGAAGAGTACTGGATTAGCTGCAGTGGAAACAGATTCTAGCTTTAAACTAACTGTGCATGAGAAAGGTGGTGGAGCAGAAAATCAGATCACGGTAACCTTTATATTACGTTGAAATTGCTGAGCTTGATTTATTGTAGAAAAATTCATCTTGAATTTTATTGATTCAGAAGACCATAAAAACGAATGAATTGGCATGCCCCTAGGGGCTAAGATGCACGTACACCCAAAAAAGGAAAGGAACAGCATAAATTTTAATAATTTGCATTCACTCTGTCTCATTATGTTTTGTTTATGAAGTTGGTTTTAAGAGAAACTATTAGTGTTATTGCCACTGCTAAGGCTGATGCTGAATGACCACTCAGATTCAAATGATTTGACATGCTAATCTAGATCAGTACTCTCTTGTCTCTTCAATTTATGTATACATTTTCAGTGCTCATTTTATTAGTTTTATGGGAACTTTTAATAGGATTTTAACCAAATTCTTAACAACCTAGAAACTAAGTTTATATTGCATATTCTTTTTTAAATTATGAAAGATTTCATCAGTAGCATAGATTGGGATAAAACATGTCAACTTCCTAAACAAAAATCTCCTACTGTATGCAGACTAGCATAGCTATGAAGCAGTTTAAGGAGCTAAGGTCTTTGTGCTTGAAGATCATTTCTTTGGTTCTAAATAAATATGAGGACCATGAGTTTGGTAGTGAATTTTGGGACCTGTTCTTTGCTTCAGTGAAACCTTTGATAGATGGCTTCAAGCAAGAAGGTGCTAGTAGTGAGAAGCCAAGTTCATTATTTTCTTGCTTTCTTGCTATGAGCAGAAGCTACAAGCTTGTATCATTGTTCTGTAGAGAAAAGAATCTTGTCCCCGACATTTTTTCAATCCTTAGTGTCACAACAGCTTCCGAAGCCATTCTATCTAGTGTTTTGAAGTTTGTTGAGAACCTATTGAATCTTGACAGTGAACTCGACCATGAAGACAATGCTATCGAGACAGTACTGCTTTCAAACCTTGATGCACTAATCTGCAGTTTGCATGGTCTTTTTAAGTTCAATAGTGCTGCAAGGAGGTATGACCTGTGCCCATAATATGCTTGAGTGTTTATCTAATATTATTTGAAATGTCACAATTGAAGTGCTGTGTACTATACTTATGGTTGACTTTCATTGTTTTGGATTCCTTGCACGCTGGGATGGAATACCTTTGGGAAACTTGCCTTATCAACCACGCTTTTACTTATAATACATGTCATATGCTGTTACTTAACGTACGTGCAATACTGTCTGCATTGTTTGAATTGTTTATGTTTCGTCAAGTTGTTATGCTTAATTCAAAACTTCACTATGCACCTGAGGTTTTAAAAATCTGCTGTTCTGTGATGTAATGGCCGCTATCGTTACAGTTTTGGAGGCTCATGAACTCGTTACAGGTTGCTAGTGTTGAGACAGTTTCACAGGGTAACAACCTGTAGTGGCTTGATTGAAGTTGGTGTAAAATTACCCTAGATCTGCTTCTTGTGGTTTAGCTTTGCTGGTGGAGATTTTGTTGGGTATTTCAGTTTCAAAGTATTATTGGTGAGGACTTTTTATGTTAATGACAATTCGTTCATAAAGACCAATTCGGTCATTTGTGGTATTTCATGGGAGTGCGGATTTTTGTTGTTATCAGGGTAAATGAAGTATTTCACCGATCTCACTCTGTATGCGTTTAAGAACTGTTTCACTAGCATGAGCTACACCTGTTGGAGCACTTATCTTCACAACTCTTAGGAGGAGAGTTTTTCTCAATCGGGGAGAAGTGATGGGGATTGTGAAGGCATTGAATAAAGATTAATGATTTACTTTGGCAATATTTATGTTTATTGGATTCTTTTCTTTTATTAAGATTTAATTATTGTAGTGTTTTATTTTTAGTAAACTTTTCATTAGGGTTTCCTAGAATGCTTATGCATAGGCCTTATGTAATGTTTTATTAGGCAATTATATGACTTCTGACTATGACTTGAGTATTGATTTGGGATTGTGATTCCCTAGTTTCTTCTGCCTTTTCTTTAGGTGATACACTGCTACATGACATTCGTCCTGCAGGGATGTTGTTTGTTTTTGTTTATTGAATCATGCTCATTGTATTGTTTGGGTTGGCCACTCTTTCTCTCTCTCCGAAGCTAAGTCATTGAGTATAAATAAATCTGCGAGGAACATGCATAAATATTAAGGATCATATGTTGAGCAGCAGGGTTCTTTCTTACCACTGAGAAGCATTTTAAAAATTTGATTTGAAATTAAAGTATGTTTTCATCCAATTGAGAGCCAGTTGTAGATGTAATGAAAAGTTTTGATGGATCTTTTTTTACCTATGAGGCTTGCTTCTTCTGACTTGGTACTATCAGGGAGCAACAATGATTTGAAGAATCTTTTCTTGCAAATAAACTAATGTACCTTGATTAGGGGGTGGAATTTGGTAAGAGTTTCTTGAGGGATAATTCGGTAATGTTATACGTAATTTGGTGAGGTTGGTGTGCATCTAAGTTGATGTCACTGTAGCCAATGGGTCCAAATGTAAATTAGACTCATATTTGGATATGGTTGCTTAAGACCCTTTGGCTTTGACTTTTAGCTTGGATTTGGCATCTATCGGGAAATTTAAATGAATTTTACTCAATCATAACGTAACATTTTTTAGTTCTTTTTTGGAGGTAGTTCTATCACTACACTGATTAATTATTTTTCTTTTTCTGCTTCTTCATTTGTTTTTGTCTGCAAAAAACCAGCATATCAGATTTGTTTGTGAAGTCAATAACTACTAACGTAACACATTTTTTAGTTCACTTTTAGAGGTAGTTCTATCACTAAATATTTTTCTTTTTGCTTTTGGTTTTTTGCCGCCTTAATTTGTTTTTGTCTGCAAAAACCTATGCAGATCAGATTTGTCTTAAATTAACCTTCTTTGAATGACCAATTTGTTTTACTAGGAAATTGGTGAAAAGCCCTGGGGAAAGAGAGCTCAATATTTTCAAGTTATTATCAAAGTATATAAAGGATCCTTCATCAGCAAGTAAATTTGTTGATATCATGCTCCCTATGCTAATGAAGGGGGCTCAAAATTCTGGTTAGTATATCATGAATATTGATTTTGATGTTTGTTATGTGCCTTCTATGTTTATCAAGCTTTTGATTCCATCCATGAAATCATTTTTCTTGCAGATGCATGTGTGGAAGCTTTGCAGGCCATTCGACATATAATACCAGTTTTAGGGACTGAAAGTACAACAGAAATTCTGAATGCAGTTTCTCCACTGCTTATTTCTGTTGGTCTGGATGTACGGATGTCTATATGTGATCTTCTTGATGCTCTTGCTGGAAGTGATTCTTCCGTAATTGCTGTGGTAAACTAATCTTTCTGTTTATTTCTTTTTGAGTAAACTACCAATAGGTTCTAATAGTTAGATTTAATTTCCATCAAGTCTTATTGAAAAAAAGTCATAGTAAAATCGTTGTTAAAAATAATTTTTTGTGACGATTTTTTGCATGTCGCTAAAAATTGACAATTAGTGACTTTTTTTGTCACGTTTTTTGATAAATTATCGCTAAAACTTACAATTAGTGACATTTTTCTGTGACTTTTTCAAACTGACGCTGAAGTTGAAAATTAGTGACCTTTTTTTGTTACGATTTTTTAAACTGTCACTAAAACTTATAATTAATGACATTTTTTATGACAATTTTCAAACTGTAGCTGAAAATTAACAATTAGCGATGCTTTTTAATAGTGTTTGATGAAAAATGCCATTAATTATCATAAGACCTATTGGATAATAAGTCCACTTATTTTTTGAGTGTTGTTATTAGCGGAACTTTGATCTCTCAATTTTGTCTTATTTTTCGACTGGGATGCAGGCAACACTTCTTCGTGAACTGAATGCAACCTCTGCTATGGAAATGGGTGGTCTTGACTATGACAGTATCATTAGTGCTTATGACAAGATCAATGAAGACTTCTTTTACACAGTTAGAGAGAAGCATGCATTAGTCATTTTGTCTCATGCTGTGCATGACATGTCATCCGGAGAACTAATTTTGAGGCAAAGTGGATATAGATTATTGCTTTCATTTGTTGAATTTTCTGCTGGAATTGTTGATCGAGAATTGAAGTCTGATGACCAGTTTTGGTCTGAAGCGTGCATTCAACGGATAATTAACAAGTTCCTTTTCAAACATATGGGAGATGCAATGAACAAAGAAACTCCTATTCAAAAGGTATTAACTAAAACCATGGTCACCTCCTTCGATCAGTTTTATTTGCTTCTATATTTTCTCATTTTTCCTTCCTCTTGTTCATAAAATTTCTGTCATTTGGAACTAAAATTGATGCGATAACTTGAGGTGATTATGGAAAGTAACTTGAATCCAAATTCAAATAGTAAAAGATACACGAGGCAAGGAAGTTGTGCATACCTCTTAACTAATTTTACACACAAACAAGTATAACCTTAATTCAGAGAGTGAAAAATACAACGAGGTGAGGAAGTCTTGCATGTCCCTTACGTAGATTTTACATGTACACAAGTATTTATAAAATTAAAAATATCATTTATTATTGGGGTGAGGGTTTGTTCAGGTGACTTGGAAGAGCTTATCCACAGAATTTGGAGAAATTTGTATTCTCACTTAAAGTTTTAGTACATCATATTTTTGAAAATAAATTTTCAAGCATAATTTGTAATAAATGTTAGCATGATTTCATCTTAGACTTGTTTGGTTTCAGGTGTGGCTTGATTTACTACGAGAAATGGTGTTGAAGCTTCCAAAGGTCTCAAGCCTTGAATCATTTAGGCTTCTGTGCAGTGAAGATGCAGAACAAGATTTCTTTAACAATATTATACATTTACAGGTCAGCTCTGTGTTCTTTTGTACGGTCAATACGTTAATATGGAAATTGGTTTGTATTCACTTTCAGAATGCTGAAATGTGTTCCAAAACATACTCACAACTGTTTACTTGTAACTTGTACCATGACAACTTTTCATAGTTTCAACGTGAAAACACAAGTCCTTCAATTTTCTCTATGTACAAGCATATCAGAGGAATATGTGCACACAGGGCACCTACTGATTCTTTTCATGTCTTCATTCTTGTTCCTCCAGAAACACAGGAGAGGAAGGGCTTTGTTACGCTTTAGCAACTTTGTTAGTTCAGGGAATTTGTCAGAGGTAATTCTTTTTTCTAGTTTTTGGTTTAAGCAAACAATTTTTTTAATGCTTTTTTGCTTGTAACATGCAATGCTGCTATGCGCTTTCAGGTTATCACAAATAAAGTGTTCGTGCCTCTCTTTTTCAACATGTTATTTAATGTTCAACATGGAAAGGCAGAAAATATAAGGAGTGGATGTTTGGAGGCTCTTGCATCTATTTCTGGTAACATGGAATGGAAGTCGTACTATGCATTTCTCATGAGATGCTTCCGAGAGATGACCCTGAAATCAGACAAGCAGAAGGTCTTAATGCGGCTTGTCTGCGCAGTTCTGGACCACTTTCATTTTATGGAAACTCATTCTTGTCAAGAATCCAATGATTCTGTTGTCGATGTATCAAAAGCTGGCACCACTGCATTGACTTCATCTGTGTTGCACACATATACGAGTTCTGCTGAGGTTTCTGAGATACAATCATGTCTCCATAAAACAGTGCTTCCTAAGATACAGAAATTGTTGACGTCTGATTCTGATAATGTCAATGTCAATATCAGTCTTGTTGCACTGAAACTGCTAAAGTTGCTTCCTGATGATGTCATGGAATTACATCTTCCAAGTATTGTCCATCGCATTTCAAACTTCCTCAAAAATCGTTTGGAAAGTATACGTGATGAAGCTAGGACTGCTTTGACTGCCTGTTTGAAGGAGCTGGGGTTGGAGTACCTGCAGTTCATTGTCAAAGTCTTGAGAGCCACCTTAAAACGAGGATATGAGTTGCATGTATTGGGATATACTCTTAATTTTAGTGGGAAGTTGGATTATTGTTTGGAAGAACTTCTTTCTGTGGTGGAGAATGATATTTTTGGAGATGTTTCTGAGGAAAAGGAAGTGGAAAAGATTGCTTCAAAAATGAAAGAGACTAGAAAGCGCAAGTCTTTCGAAACCCTGAAATTAATTGCCCAAAACATCACATTCAAAACGCATGCCTTGAAGTTGCTTTCACCTGTTACAACTTGTCTGCAGAAGCATTTAACCCCAAAAATGAAATCGAAATTGGAAACTATGTTAAACAACATAGCTGCTGGTATTGAGTGCAATCCATCAGTTAATCAGACAGACCTCTTTATCTTTTTATATGGCCTCATAGAAGATGGCATTACCCATGAAACTCGTGCAAAGGCCAATCAGCAATCTGGAGATGAGGCAAGCTGCAAAACTATTACATCAGGCAGGTTAATTGACTCTGGCTCACAATCTTCACATCTTATTACAGTGTTTGCTCTTGGGGTGCTGCACAATTCCATGAAGAATACTAAACTTAACAAAAAGGACGAACAACTGTTATCAATGTTGGATCCTTTTGTAAGATTGCTCACTGACTGCTTGACTGCCAAATACGAAGATATCATTTCTGCAGCGCTCAGGTGCCTTGCTCCACTGGTGAGGCTGCCTCTACCATCTCTTGAATCACAAGCTGACAAGATAAAGACCTCTCTGTTGGTTATAGCTCAAGGCTCTGTAAATGCTGGCAGCCCTGTGATGCAATCATGTCTAAGTTTGCTAACAGTGCTTCTGCGGAGCACTAGGATTACGCTTTCCACAGATCAATTGCATATGGTGATCCAGTTTCCTTTATTTATTGATCTCGAAAGAAATCCCTCGTTTGTTGCTCTTTCACTTTTAAAGGCTATAGTGAACCGCAAACTTGTAGTCCATGAGATATACGATCTTGTGACTCGGGTTGCAGAACTTCTGGTAACAAGTCAAGTGGAGCCAATTCGCAAAAAATGCAGTCAAATTCTATTGCAATTCTTACTTGACTATCATCTTTCAGAGAAACGTTTGCAGCAGCATCTTGATTTCTTGCTTTCAAATCTGAGGCAAGGATATAGTAATTATCCACATATCATTTACCTCTATTATTTTAAATTTCTCTTACAGTGATTTAATTTTCTTGCAGGTATGAACATTCGACGGGAAGAGAAGCTGTGCTTGAAATGCTCCATGCAATTGTAATCAAGTTCCCAAAAGCCATTATAGATGAGCATTCCCAGACCATATTTGTTCATTTGGTGGTTTGTTTGGCTAATGATTATGACAACAAAGTCCGCTCCATGACTGGCGCTGCTGTAAAGCTTCTGATTGGGCATGTGAGCCCGCATTCACTTCATTCCATTCTCGAGTATAGTCTCTCTTGGTACTTAGGTGGAAAGCAGCATTTATGGAGTGCTGCAGCCCAGGTAAAGTAATCACAACTGGTCTGCAAGTTGTATATTTTGCAGATTTTTAGCTAGCATGTGTGAGCCTGCATTCACATTAAATTTTGACCATATGCAACATTAAACACATTAAAGTTTGATCATATGCTTTAACAGAAGTGAAAAAATTAAATTAATTTTTGAAAAAAGACCGAAGGATATAACATCAAACATGTTTTTGTTTTTTTCTAAGAGAATTCGAAGTGGGAATTGGGTTTTGTTTACTGTTCATTCGCATGTTTTCACTTGATTTGGTGAAGGTGAAAACATCCTTTTTGTGTTGTCATTTTTTGAACCTTGTATTGAAGACAGATTTCAAAAAAATTAAAAACAAAAGCAAGCACCAAACATATTTTTCTGTTGTGTTTTCAAAATTTTTGAAAACAGCAACATGAAAACATGAAACACAACTGGAACCAAACGGGCCCTTAATAATTGGATGCTGAATGTGATGGAATCCATATTCACCTCCCTCCCCTTGTCCCCTGTTTCTCTCTTGCACACACATTCTTTGTATAATTATGCAGTAGTATGAACTCTGGAATCTAATTTGAGTCATGAATAGCAAGTTGTGTGTTTGCTTTCTTTGCTTTGAAGTTGTACTATATGGGTTTTGTTTATTTGTTTTTTGGCTTTAAAACATTTTTGTGTAGGTCTTGGGATTATTGGTTGAAGTAATGAGGAAAGGCTTTCAAAAACATGTCAATGGTGTGTTGCCAGTGATGAGAAGCATTTTCCAGTCTGCTATCAATGTTCTTACAAATGGACAGCTAGATCTTTCTGTTGAAGCTACAGTTCCCTTTTGGAAAGAGGCATATTACTCACTAGTCTTGTTGGAGAAGATACTGCATCAGTTCCATGATTTGTTCTTAGCAAAGGATCTTGAGGTATAAGCCTATTCATTGTATGTGTCTACGTGCATGATAATTATTTCCTTCATTTCTGTGTATATTTATTCTATATTAAAATGTTTGTAACACATGCAACATAGCATTTCAAACCTTTGTGAGAGTGAGAGCCATCATTTTTTGGGATAAGGCTGTAGGTGGGGTCGTATTGGTAGCCTGAAAACTACTTTAATTAACAAAAGAGAAGGGCTGTCTGGCATGGGGACTAATTGAAGTAATGAGCCTTCCAATATTGGGCTGGCAATTTAATTTGAACCAGTTTTGTGGGTCGGTTTGATGAGTGTAACAATTTACAATGACCTGATCACCTTGTCTTGAATCATAAATTATTGCTAAATGCATTTGCAGTACAATTCCTTGGTTAATTATAAAGTATATTTGGGCAAAATCCACTTTTCTCCTCATCCCCTGCTGTGGATTTGCCCATTTGCAGTGCACCTCCCAAACACTAAAAAATAACAAAAATTACCTTATGTGGTTTTGGGCCCTTTTGTAGTTCACATCCTTGTTGTTAAGAATTTTGTCTAATTTGATGAAAATTGGGGCTTCGGTGAGGGGCTTTGACTGCAATGGGGGATTTGGCAAATTCTTCAATTGCGATGGATGCTTTGATATCCAGGGCTTCGACAAAGGCTGTGATTGTGGTCGCTGAAGCCTTCAATCTAGGGTTTCAATGAGGCTGGCAACAATCGCAATGACGGGTTCACTCTATCTATGATTAGTTTCATTTAATAAATTCTTTCTTTTAGGAAAAAAAAATGTCACAAAGAAAAACAGTTGTGTGGTGCTATGTCCCGCCTTGTCCATCACATGTTTGGAATTTGTTTTAAAAATAACAAAAATCAGATACCCTTTTTTGCTTGTCAACAACATATCTGGATGCATCCATGCCCCATTCATCTGGCACACTGATACATGACCTCATGCAATGTGTCGGTATTTCATAGTAGGTAACTAGTTGCCCCAAAAGTTTACTGGTGAATCTAACATCTCTTTAGCATGGTTTGGGTAGTTGGGCTGTCTTGGATTCTGGGGAAGTATCCTAATCCTACATAAAATCAAAAAGATCATTTGTAAACTAATTGCTAATATTTGGTACCGTTTTCCTTTCATTACTGAGTTTTTGATGGGCTTATTTTTTCTTCATTTTTTTTTTAAATTCTCATTTTAATTTACAGGATATATGGGAAATGATTTCAGAGCTTCTGTTGCACCCGCATATGTGGTTACGTGATGTATCGAACCGCCTGGTGGCCCTATACTTTGCCTCAGTAACTGAGGCCAACAGAGAAAACCATGAAAAGTCACTAGAAACAGTTTTTCTAATGAGACCAAGTAGACTTATTCTCATAGCTGCATCTCTCTGCTGCCAATTGAAGGCCCCACTAATTGACAACACTGCCAGCACCATAGTTACACAAAACCTCAGCTTCACAATTTGTGGAATACATTCTTTGTTAGTACCAAAGAAATGGATTGATGGCCAAAGTTTTGGGTATACCCTTGAACACGATGAGGAAGGTTGTTTCCTCAAAGCTTTTCAAAAGCTTGACTCACGAAAAGGAAGAAGTATGTTTGCATCCCTCACATCTGGTGATAATAATCAAAATGATCAAGAAAATAGTGGTCATCATCAATCTTTGCTCGTCTCTTACCTGCTGAAGAGAATGGGAAAGATTGCCCTTCAGATGGAGGCTGTTCAGGTGGGTCTGCTAGACAGTGGCTTCTCTGAGAACTGTTCTGAGTTTGCTAAGCTTATTGAGTAATATTTGTGATAATTTTATGTAATCCCAGCTTATTTCACTTCCTTTTTCGATAATGATTTTTGAAAAATTCATAATATTGTTCACGATAAATTAAACTCTTTATGCAGATGAAAATCGTTTTCAATGTTTTCAAGTCAATCACACCAAAAATCATCGACCCGGAAAAGCTTTCATCACAAACCGATTACTTCCAGGGTTATGCGTATCAAATGCTGTTACCATTGTACAAAGTTTGTGAAGGATATGCTGGCAAAGTTATTCCAGGTAAGTGTTTTATATTATAAATAGGAGTGTTGCAGCTTTTCTTATTCTTAACAGTGAATAGTTTTTGTAATAGATGCCCCAATAGTTGGGGGAAAATTTCTTCATTGCTTATAAAAGCATACTGAATTTTGATAATATTGATGAATTTCATCAAATGTGCATCATCAGGCAATTGACCTAATAAAGAAAAACTCGTATCTTTCAAAATCTTAAAATTCAAGGTGTGTGCGCAGGCTTTTTATTTTATTTTATATTTTACTAGTATTTTATTAAGTATGACATGGCTTGTTTGTTAGAGGTGTGATTTTAACCCTTTTTTTTTTTAATGGAGTTTGATTTTAACTTTAGCTGTGTAGGTATCAAAAGAAACTATTTTCACTTTTTTGATTTTATATTTAATGAAATTATAAAATTACAAAATCAAAGTTGAGAACATGCTCTTTGTTTTAGTTTTCTTTATTAAATTAACATTTATAATTTTCTTATGCTATGTTTGGATTTTGGATTTCTGGAGGAAAAAGAAAAAGATAGGAAAAGAAATAGAGGCTAAATTATTTCTCTTTATTTTTTTTAATTTTTTGTTTTAGGGTTGGGTTAGAGCAATGAGAAGAAAATTAATTTGTAATTGCCAAAAAATCATTTTTTTTGTTTGGTTATCAATAAGAAATATGTATGTGTCATTTATCTGAATATTAATATTTGATTGATGAATTTGCTTTATATTTCAGATGATGCGAAGCAATTAGCGCAAGAGGCTCTTCAAAGTATTAGAGATACATTAGGGATGAATAATTTCATACAACTTTATAGCCAGATCAGGAAAAATCTCAAGGCAAAGAGGGAAAAAAGGAAACAGGGAGAAAAGCTGATGGCTGTGGTCAATCCAATGCGAAATGCCAAAAGGAAGCTGAGAGTTGCAGCTAAGAATCGAGCCAACAAGAAACGAAAAATAGGGACAATGAAGATGACGAAATGGATGCGTTGAAAGAGCTATAAGGTTGCCTTTCTTTGGCAGTGTAGTTGACTAAAGGCCCTTTGTTTTGGTCATGCAATCGCTTTCCCGTTTGGGGTTTTGCCTTCATCGGTTGATTTGATTTTCTTTCTCCATCCAGAACTCAGCTGCCAGAACCCGACGCAAGGATGTCTGGAAACACAGTTGAGAAGACACGGTAAATGTGATATGGGTAGTGAATTTGATGACTAGCAGAGTTCTAACCAAATGGTGTATATCATAAACTTCAATTTTGATATCTAGTTTTGGAATGAGGCAAATGCAAGATGGTATATGTTGAGTGACTGATGAAGAGAGCTGTTGGGTGTCATGTCATCTATTGTTTGTAGTTCATATATTTATGTTTATATATTGAATGGAAAGTCATGTTCAATTGAATGTTTGAATGTTCAAATTAGTAATGGAAGCTCTATTATAGTCAAAGCAATAAACAGCTGTAATTTTATTTTGCTTTGACAAAGGTCGAGTTCTGTAACATAACCCATTATGAAGTCGTTGTTTTGGGCTTCATTTGTTTCGATGTAAAATATTTTACACAAAAAAAGATGTTTTTGTTTTTCTTTTTTGCCATTTGGTTGATATTTGAAACAAAAATATTTTATTACTTAAAAGAGGAATTTTGATTAAAGAAAGTGTTATTTATGACTTTTTAGTGAATTAAGATATTTATTTGAAAACGTTAAATTTGTTGAAAAGGTAGTGAGTGAAAGTTAACTTTATAAAAATTGATTTACGGAATTTTTGAAGGTAAGTTATTTTTGGAAATATGGTGCAAAAATATTTTTCTTAAAAAATATTTTACTTAGTTTTTGTTTAATCAAATAACAGAAAATGAATAAAATACTTTACGTGAAAGCAAACGGAGCTTTAATTAGGCATGGTTTGAAAGGTTTTTTTTTTGAAACGGAGCTTTAATTAGGCATGGTTTGAAAGGTCTTTTTTTGAAAGGAAAATGCTTTACAAACATTTTTTACCGATTTCTCTTATGTGTAGGTAGATGTGTTTATATAATGATACAACTTAGATAGTTGAAACAAGAATAACTAAGATAGTACGATAGAGATAACTCCATAGTTCTGGTATAGAAAAATTTTTGAAATTTGTTAATTTGTATGCCGATACTCCTGAAAATAATATAAATATAAAAGAAATTCATAAGTTGATTGCAGCCTCTATGTCGAACTTGTAGCAAGTCAAAAATATGAAATGAGCCTATTTTGCTAAGAAAAGTGAGAGAAGGAAAATATAAGATGACAAAAAGCAATTCTTTTAACCAGACAATCCGTGTAGTTGAGTGTAACGCCCTCTCCCATTGCCCTTAGCCTCTCCACCTTTGTCACAATCACTATGGTCACCTTTGGGGGTTGCATTGGAGGGTGTTTAGTGGTGTGTGGAGAAGGATGGTTGCAGAGGAGGGGTATTTTTGTCATTCAAAGTACATTGTTTAGCTTAGAAATAAATTTTTGAACAAAACATAAATTTTAACCGAGAGAAAGGTATTGAAATAGAAGCTCCCACTATTATCTTTTTTTTTTTTTTGAACAAAGAAATTTGTAAGACGAAAACCAACAATGCAAAAAACAGAAACAAGGGGAACAAAACTAAGCCTCTTTATTTTGTCAGTTCAAATATTAATTAATAAAAGTCAATTATTTAGATATTAACAATCAAACAAAATTTAATTATTCAAATATGTGAATCGAATTGAATTTTTGTTCAATTAGTAATATTTAAACAATATATTTTTGTTGGATAATTATCATCAAAACAAAAAAAGAGTGGAATGAAGTGGAGTGCCCCCCATTTAAAGCCAAACGCGGGATGCGGAGGCAAGTGGCTGTGTTTAGTATTGGTTTTTGAGTCCCAAATGTAACGGACATACCGTTTGGCTTCTCTCTAATCTCTCTCTCTCTCCTCTCACAATTTTGCTGAGAAAATAGTCTTGCAGAGCATAGAGAAAGAGATAAATAAAAGAGAAAATTCTAATCCAAACCCAACCCATCTCTAATCAATCAATGTTGTTATGAGGGTGGCAAATCGTTAAAACCCATCTCAAATCAATCAAATGTTGACATGAGAGTGGCGAATCGTTAGCCAAATACCCATCTGTTCTGCAGAGAGCCAAGAAAAGAAAGGCATTTTCTTGATTCATATCTTTAACTATTTTCTCCCTCTGGATATTGGGTTTTTCAACATTTTTTTATTTTTATTTTTAATGATAATATAATAAATTTGTTTGGTTGGGTTGGATGCAGGAATTGGGATGAAGGCATATTGGCTCTGCAAGATTTGATTTATTTTCTATTTCCCTCTATCTCCATTTCTCTTAAATGGGGACAATATCTTCTGATAATATTCATGGACTTGTTTTGGCTCTCACTTCCAGTATTTTTATTGGCTCTAGCTTTATCATCAAGAAGAAAGGTCTCAAAATAGCTGGTTCTAGTGGAACCAGAGCAGGTCCAATTTCATTTATTTATTTATATTTTATTTTGAACACACATATGTACATATACATACATATTAGTGGTGAGTGTACACACAATGCCTGTGCAAAGATACATAGTTTATGAATGAAGATGATGAAAACCATCGGTGTTTGTAGAGTTTTAAATTTCTGAATCAGTTTCACATGATAATTTTTAAACTTATCAATTGTTGTAGGCATTTTGAAATATGAAATAGGCGTGACGGAGAAAGTGTTCACATCAACTGACTTATACACTTTATATAATAATATAGTATAGATAGTGTGTATATGTATACATATGCCCATCAAAAGACATAGAACTACTTACATGAACGTATATGTGTGGAGATGTGTATGTAACTGCAAATATATGTGTGTGTGTGTATAAATCAATATGCATATTTGTGTATGTGTGTGTTTGCATGTGTCTGTATGTACAAATGTAAAAATTATTTAGGGGGTATTGGAAGTTAAAAATGAGTGAGTGACAAGTTCAAGTTGTAATACTCAGTCTGATGGTAATTGGCAATGACATATGGAGTTGGTTGTAATTGCTTCTCTTAGGTCTTTGTTCTCATGCTATTTTGCCTTTAATTTTTTCTTTTAACTTTTAGTGGGTAATTTACAATTAAGAGGTCGCACACATTCATATTCGACTTTTATGGATAAACAGTCAGGGTTTTGGTTTAGGCATATCCAATGTAACCATGCTCAATAGAACTAGTAAACTATGTTTTCTAATTGTTTTGGTTAATCAGAGGACCTATGTTCAAAAATACATGAAAACCAAGAGTGCGTGCGTGTGTTTTTATTTTTTATTTTTAAAAGCAGGTTTTGGGAACGTAGGTCCTCTTGAATTTTGCTCTCCCTTCCCCCGTGTCCATGTTTTATTTTGCACTTATTTGAGCTTGGGTACCTAACTTGTGTACCTTTGAAGATGTAGCAGTGTCTATACCATTAGAACATTTCTTTAGGATTTATAAATCTTTTTTGTTATTGTAACCATCATGTCGTCATTTTGTTCAGGGTCAGGAGGGTACTCATACTTGAAGGAACCTTGGTGGTGGGCTGGGATGATAACTAGTAAGTACCAATAATTTGTTCTGCTTGGCTTTAAAGCTCCTCGTTGTTGTTGTTTTGTATATTTTTTTTTTCTTGTATTTTTTTGCTTTGTGCTATTTTGAATCTTTCAGATCGTTAAAAGATTGCATTGTTAGGACATATAAATTTAATCTTTTGTTTTAAAAGATACATCAGAATGTTCTCTCTTACAGCATGAAAAATATTGTTCTTGCTTTATATTTGGCCTACCTAGCAACCTAAATCTTATGAATTTGGGTGTTTATAATATGTTTGTCTCTTAATAAATGCTAATTCAAGAATATTTTCTTCTTCTTCAATTCTCTTGTAAATTTCGAACAAATTGGGACTTACATTCTTAAAGCAATTTATTATTACTTTTGCTGGTGGTTAAGGTTATTATGCCTCATGGGAGTCTGACACATTATTTAGAATCTGTTGCAATTTGACAATTTGTTAGAGATGTGCTTTGTGGCTTCCTTGAAAGTAAATATATAACCATGGATAGACAAGTGTTTTGGCATCAAATGGGTTGATGGTTGAAATTTTCTCCCAGCTTTGTTCTCTTGATTAATGGTTAGGTAGAACTAGAAGCTTGATTTTAGACAGGGAGGTATTTTTTCAAGAGATCCTTTTTCCTATTCACTTTAGGTGATGTAGTTTGTCAAAATCATAAGCTTATTTCCAACATTGACAGTTAATAATGTTGATTAAAGCATATTGGTAAGTGTCATGAGCAAGTGCATGAAGAAAACTTGAATTTGAAAGCTAAGGCTCAAGATAAGAATAACTAGGTGAGAAGAGAGATGAAATGAGTTAAAATTGCAAAAATTACAATAACCGAGGGGTAGGGGTTTTGGAAAATTGGAATAATACTCTCTCTCTCTCTAAGTATCCGAAATATTCTAGTGATCATAGTTAGAATTTTGTATTATGTAGAATATAGATTATGGAAGGTTTTCTAGGAATACAAAGTTTATATCTAATTGTGACCCATTTTGTGATGTAGGACAATTTTTAGAGATTAAGGTATGGTTTGGCATCCTAAAAAAAATTCAAAAAGCCAAAAAGTTATTAAAAAGTTATCACTATTCACAAATTAAAAATATAAAAAAATTAATTTACACAATATTTTAATACAAATCAACCAGTTGACGTGACTGGTACGAACTGATGGAAGTGGGCTGTCAAAGGAAAAAAAAGAAAATTAGGTATATATTTTCATTAAATTGGAGGGTAATGTTGGGCCAGTGGAGACCCATCACGGGTCTCGTTTTAATAATCTGAACCGTTCAATGGCTAAGTTTATATGCATGACAAGTAGGCAATACATATCAATTTTTTTATTCTCAATTAGGTTTAATCACCCACACACACAAACACAAACTTTATACCAATATTCCTTTTTCTTCATTCGAAATATCAACAAAATCTAGAAGTGGGTGAATTTTGTATTACTAGAATTTGCAGATATAAGTGACAAAAAAGTGTCAATTAGAATTCCTAGATTTGACTGCAGTCATTAAGTCCTGTATTTTCTCCTTTTGGTTGTTCTTTTTCATTTTTCTAGCATTGTATGAAAACCCACTTTTCTAAGGTCATATCTCTTTTTAAATTAATACTTAGTTTTTATGATGTATAGTGATTGTTGGGGAGATAGCTAATTTTGCTGCTTATGCATATGCTCCGGCAATTCTTGTAACACCCCTGGGAGCTCTAAGTATTATTTTCAGGTATGACATCAGATAGAAGCATTTCTGTAGAATATTCAAAAGAGAAGCCTTTTGCCTCTTATAAAAGAATTAATCTCTTTAATCTATACACTGCTTTCTGCACAGTGCAGTGCTAGCCCATTGCATTTTGGAGGAGAAATTGCACATCTTCGGTGTGGTCGGATGTGTTCTTTGCTTGGTGGGCTCTACCACTATTGTTTTACATGCTCCACAGGAGAAAAATATTGACTCTGTTAGGGAAGTGTGGTACCTAGCCACTGAGCCAGGTATTTAAGAAGTGACATGTAGTTGTCGGGAACTTCTATTTTCATACACCACTTTCTTTCAGTACACACATTTTTTGGGTTTAGAAATCAACTTCCCCACAAATACTTGTGCTCTACTTGGTTCATTGGAATGAGATGGATGTAATGGTCATTCAATTCTCTTATAATGGCGAACGATGAATCAATTTGCAATGCATTTTTTGTTACTTTTTTAAGTCAACCAAACATGGAAATAGACATTATGATAGAATCATTCCATTTCATTCTAAAGAATCGGACACTACCTTATGGTTTGGAAATCAACTTCTAAACAAAAAACAACCATAAGATTTTATTAGAAGTTGATTTCCGAACAAAAAATGGTGTCTAAACTGAGAGAAAGTGGAGTGTGAAAATAAAAGCTCCCATAGTTGCCTGATATCTTTATATTCTACTTTATAGCCCATGCTCTTGGATGTATGTGTCAGGTTACGTAGATTTTACACTAGTATTCATATCTATCATCACATCCAAACGTGAACATTGATTGGTTATATAGACTGACAAACAAATTTTTGGTACCAACAGGCTTCCTTGTCTACTCTGGCATAGTTTTGGTTCTTGTTGTTGTCCTCATTTTCGTAGTTGCGCCACGTTATGGGCCAACCCATTTGATCGTTTACATTGGAATTTGCTCGCTGACAGGCTCTCTTACGGTCTGCATATTGTTTTTGAATCTTTTACGCATCCAGTCCACAGTTCTATACTTGGTAGTTCTTATGCAAGATTAGTTTTTTTTTTTTTTTCCCCTCTTATGTAGGTTATGAGTGTGAAAGCTGTGGGAATTGCTTTGAAGCTGACATTTTCAGGATCAAATCAATTTACCTACTTTGAGACATGGGTCTTCACCGTAGTTGTGATTGTCTGTTGTCTTTTGCAGGTGAACTATCTGAACAAGGTAATTGCATTAAAAAGCATATATTATGGTGAATTATAGAATTCTATTTTTAAAAATGAGTAATCTTGTATTCTGGATTCATCTTTGCAGGCTCTAGACACATTTAATACTGCTGTTGTTTCTCCTTTCTACTATGTCATGTTTACAACCCTCACCATCCTAGCGAGCATGATCATGTTTAAGGTGATTCAGCGCATACTTTTCTCGTTTTCTTTGCAATTCTTCTCCTCTTTCCATGTCTTATCAATATTGTGTCTTAAGTAGGGAGATTTTATATGGTTATATACATACAGATTCTTTTTGCTGTTCTGTTGACTTGAAAGCTTTCAATTTGATTCACTATATATTATCATCATGTGCTTATTATGCTAAGACTTCATATGGTTATGCAAACTGATAGATGTCCTATAAAAAAAAAAATAAAAAAATTAGCTTGTCTAGTTTAACCCTGCTGATTGTAACTGCACTTACATACTATTAACATAAAAATAACTTTGCACAAAATTAGAAAAACCACATCGAATTTAATTTATACACCATGATGTGATTGTTTTGGATTCTCACATAATAAAAGTCGTGTCAAATTATCTTGTAATTTAAAAAATGCCACTGTCACATCATTTTGGATAAGAATTTTATATAAAATCATGTGTTTAAAATTTTTCTTAACATCATCCTTGAAATTCGATATTATCTTGAAGTTTGTGATTGATTTCGTAATATTAATATCCAAAAATGGATTAATTTCTTATACGCTTGGGGTTTATCTTCATTTTTTTCCTTTTTCTAATACAGCTCAACCCAATATGTATTTCTCTACAATTCTTGTTTATAGTTTACTCATTCGCTTGTTTCATTAACTAAAAATGTATATGATCTATAAACAATATAACTCAGGTAAGGATTTAAAGCTGATTGTTGATGTAAACCCATTGTTATAGAAAATTCAATTTTTTCTTCCCCTAACATTCTCACACTAGTCATAGCTCTATTGTACACATCTAATTATATTGATATACCTAATTGTTTACCTTTTTATTTTCAGATCCTTCTCATTATCAGTTGCTAATATAAGAAAACGTTCTGTGAGAACAAATATGAAGTTATTTTTATTATGAGTTTCATTCTTACTTCACAGTAAGTTTTTTCACCTCTCATACATGGTAATGTATTCAGGATTGGGACTCTCAAAATGCATCACAGATTGCGACTGAATTGTGCGGGTTTGTGACTATTCTCTCTGGGACGTTTCTTCTGCACAAAACCAAGGATTTGGGAAGCAGTCCAGTTCCAAATGTGGGAAGCCCGGTATATCACACATCTCCAAACTCAAACACAAACTCGAATTCAAGACAGGCAGAGAGGTGAATGTTTTTGGCAATGATGTTCATCATCTCATTACTGCAGTTGGGAAAATTTTGAATATTAGAACAAAGGAGAAATTATGTTCTTTCCAAGGTGAAAAAAAAAAATAGAAATCGTTTCTTGGATGATAATTCGCGGATTTTGTGCTGATTAATGTAGGGACTCTTGACTTAGTTAGCAATGGTTTTTATTTTTTGTTTTTTGGTCTTTTCTTGGACACATTTTTTAGATTGTGAATATGTTGGACAGTGATCACAACATTACTGAGAAGTTTTTTTTGAAAGAAATATATGGATGTGAATGAAGAAATGGTAGTTTAGAGTTGAAATGTTGGTGCCTTGAATTATATTTTTCAATCAACCTCATGGAAATGTTGGTACATTTAATAATTGATGTTAAGAGTTCAATTCTTCTTGTTGATTTGTTGTTCCAAAAAATAAATAAATAAAATAAAAAGAAGAAACATCTTGAGTTCAAATAATTTTTTAAGAGTTGAAGTTAGGGTTTAAATTAATAAAATTAGAATCTCAAGATTTATTTTGTTATAAGAGTTAAAAAATAAAATTTCTACATAATTTTTTCAAAAATTAAAATAAAGTACTTGATGCATTAACATAGTTTAAATGCACCTGGACACTTTTTAGGGGAATGGTAATTTCTAAAAAATATTATAAATTAATGATAAATTTGATAAATTTAATTATTAATATTTATAATGTTTATTATTTATTTGTAATTATTTTTTTATTAACACTACTTTTATTTTTTATTGACACCACTATTATGTGAATTTTTCTACTTTTTATATAAACGGTTTTTTTTTACCAAACTTCTCTATTAGTTATAATCTGATCTGATTAAGAGGTTATTTGGGAAGTGTTAAATAAGTATATTTTTTTAAATTTTTATAAAAAAATATACAAAAAAATAGAAAGATAATGTGACCAAAAAAATAAAAAGAAAAAAAAAACATTTTTTTAATGCTAGCCAAACAACCCTTTAGGCTATGTTTGTTTGCCTCTCTGGAAAGAGGAATTGGACTAATAGTCCATGAGATCTACCTAAAGAGTATTTGGTTGGTAATATGAGTGAGGAGATTAACTATGCTATTGAATTAGTAATCCTCTCATGTGGTAGGACTAACAAAGCCATGAGAAGGTTGGGATATTTTGGGTTGCCCATTTGGCCCAACTCATGGATCTGGAATGGGGGGATGGTGTTGAGGAGTTGTTCCACCTCATAGTTCCTGCAGTTTAAAAAAACTCAAACAGAACTCACGCTAAATTTGTTTCGTTAATTTTTTTTTTCCTCCCTAAATTCTGCGACGTTCACGAATAATTTGGTTTTGTTATTGGATTTCAGTTAATTTTAATAGTATGTATGTTTATGTTTTAAAAACTCAATTACAGTTTTTTTCTTACCATGTGATTAAAATGGAGCGTAAAAAAACACAATCAGTTTAAAAATATAATCATTATGTGATCAGTTTAAAAATGCTGGTTTTGTTTTTTAAAAAAAATAGTTTCCGTTCGCAAAAAATATTTGAAAATTGTAATTATTGTTGTTCTCATATGAGTGTAGCATGTTCGATTAAAATTTCATAATTTAATGATGAGTATTTATTTTATGAAAATTTACGGACTGATTGGTAGTGACTAGCTTGGGAGTTGTTATTATTTATTATTTAGGATTATAATATATATGTGCATGTTGAATTTATGATGTATGCCGTATGGTGAAAAAAATTATATATCGTTGTAGTGAATGAAAATGTGTATATTTCAAAGTGAACAAAATATTATTCTGGTGTAAAAAAAATTATATTTTTTGGTGAGAAAAATTATATCATTTCATAATTTATGTAAAAAAAAATTGGATATATTATTACACAATTTATATTGTATTATTTTGGGAATTCCAATCCTTGGCAAGGCAACCCACGTAGGGCTGCCATGCTATTGTCCTTGCCCATCTTTTCTTTCCTTTTTCGTTTCATTTTTGCTTGCATTTGGCGGAGGCCTTCTTTCCCTCTCTCTCTCTCTTTTTTCCTCCATTGTTGCTCACCCTTCCAGGAGCGTATAGGTAACATGGCAGATGAAACCAGTCCTAGTAACATCAACGGAAATACACCATTAGAGGAAGCAATTGATGAAATTGCGAGGGAAATGGTGTTAGAAACTGATCACAACTTGGTAGAAGCGTGAAACATTGCAGCAACGTATTATTACAACAATTATTACAAAGTCCTGCGAAATACATCAATCTTGTTGGGACGATTATGGATGTACGAGTTGTTTAACGGCCATTAAGGCCGGTTTGAAGATGCCGTCAGTATGCCCCGAGCAGTGTTCTTGTTGTTGTGCGACACTTTGCACAATTTTGGGTTGACAGTGTCGCAGCGGGAGCATGGGGTGCCGCTCGAAGAGAAGATAGTGATTTTCATTTCTGTTTTGCAAGGAATTTCATGGAGAAATTTGCAAGAATGGTTCCAACACTCAAAGGAGACATTGTCACGGAATTTCCATGAGATTTTGCAAGTTATGATACAATTTACGTCAATTCATAGTAGGAGTCTTGAACCAGATCAAGTCCAACAAGGGGGCCATCCATATTTACGGTCCAAGCGATAGTACCGACCATTCAAGGTGACGCCATATATAAATTTTTGTGCGACGAAGTCATTCATAACATATGCAATAAAACAATTACATTTTGCAATTTTTACTTGTTTAGGACTGCATTGGTGCACTGGACGACACGCACGTGATGGCCCATGTCTCCAACGAATACGCTTCTTCATACTATGGCCAGAAAGGCTTGCCAACGCAAAATATTATTGCTGTTTGTAACTTTGATTTGTACTTCATGTTTGTGTCTGCTGGTTGGGATGGGAGCATGCATGACAGCAGGGTGTTGCACTATGTCACAACTAAGCCTAAACATAGATTCCCACACCCCGCGCCCGGTAACAAATTCTCGCTTCACAATGAACTTGACAAAATGTAAAAAATTATTCACAGAGGTGATGGTAACTAAAGGTTTTTTGATACAATAAAAACAAGATTATATCGATTTTCAAATAAGAACTACAAAGATGTTTTTTGTATGTGATAACAACATAAAAAATAAGGGGTAGACAAGTAAGAACAATGCATGTTTTTTTTTTATTAGTCCCATATAAGATTTAAAGTTCGAAATTACAAGGAATCTCATCATTAAACTAATAGAATATTTTTGCTATGTGAAAGGTTACTGTCATTTTTTTAATTCAATTATGAGCATAAGTTAGTGAACAACAAACGAAAATGAAAAAGTCGTTATATGATTTTAATAAAATACCATTTGATATTAATAAGTTATATTGTTCAACATGTGTAGGCAAATACTACTTGGTCGATAGCGGGTACAATAACTAGACAGGATATCTAGCCTCATACAAGGGGTATCGATATCACCAAAATGCCCATCACAACCGAATACAACAGAATGAGTATGAATGGTTCAACAAGGCACATTCGTCCTTACGTAGTTGTATCGAGTGGACATTCAGTGCTTGGAAGTCGAGGTAGGGGGCTTTAGGGAATATGCCGAAGATAAAATTTTCCGATCAAATGCCCTTCTTATGTGTGTCGATGGCTTTGCATAACTTCATACGCCGGAACAGTCAATCTAACGCGATCACACACAATATCCCAAACGACGACGAGTACATTGCGCCGTAAATGCCCGACTACCCCAAATACACCCAGGTTGTTGATATCATGGGGCCAGGGGACTTAGATCCCCATATGGCAACTGTAAGAGCGAATATTATATACGCATTGTGACAGTAAGTGCACGTTTAAGGGCAACGCATTTGTTGCTGTGGTAGGTGTTATATTCACTATATGTTGTGTAACACTGATGTATGTTGTTGAAACAAATTGTATTATTATATCATTAATTAGAAGGAAATAATTTGTTATACCAAATTCGTAACAACCAAAAATAATAGTGCAATAATGAACAATATTCAATTTCATACATACGTTAGATTAAATACATTGCAATTGTATTTTTAAATTTCTAACATAATAAAAATAAAAAATTAAAAAAGAATATTTGCACAGGTTCACGGGTGAAAAGAAAAAGTAAAAGGAAAATTTGTAGCCAAAAAGTAAATTAAACAAGTACAAGTTGAACTACACCATTTTGGTTTTTTTTCAATAATTAACAGAACATCACATGGGAACAGGAAAAAGGTAAAAATATATACATATATATATATATATATCTTCTCACGTATCCCTGCCCACCATAGAATAAAAAAGCAAACCGTACTGACTTTCACGTTCGTGACTATCAGTCAGCATAGGGATAATATGGTAATTTTGGTATTTATTACAGTATTATAATGTGCATTTTTTCATAAAAAAATCAAAAAGTTATCCCAAACAATCATATTTTTTTCCACTATTTTTTTAACTAAAAAGTCAAAAAGCACACTTATATAGATCATCCCAAACAACCCCTAAATCCTCCTATCCAACATACCAGTGAGGTTGAGCCTTGTTATGATCGATCACCCCTCCCTACCCTTTTTCTTCTTCCCACTACATAGAGATGTGAATTAAATGTTGATATATTGCATAACTTGAAAGAGTTAAACATGCTCATAATGCCTTGTTTGATTAACATGATTAATAATGAAAGGATTAATAATTTCATAAATTAGTGTAAGATTAATTATTTAATTAAATTAGTGAGACAATCATTAATTATGTATTTTTTTTAGTTTTTTTTTTCTCTTTCATACTTGGAATTATGATCTCCAACTCCTCTCAATATTAAAAATTTGTCAATTTCGTTAGATTGAATGTTCGATGTACATGTAATCTGGTTAATAAAATTTATAATCAAATATAGAATTGTGAGTCCATAAATTAACAATCTCAGTCTTATGCTATAATCCCAAACATGCCCTAAGTGGATTAGAGATACTGTTAGCAGATATTTTAATATTATATTGTGTTATAGATTATATTGTTTGCTTGGGCTCCAAGCACCTTGTTCTCCAACCTACTTTTCTTTGCCTCTAAGTAAAGTTTCTTTCCCTCAAAGTTCTCTTTTCTTTTCACTACTAGAAAAAAGGGGCATTTGGAACTATTTGCGACGGTTTAAGTGCCGTTGCAAAAAAGGGGTTTTTGCTACGGCACTTAATGACGTCGCGAAATTATTTTTGTTGCAACGGAAAAACTAAGCCTGTGGAAAAAAGTAAGGTTATATGCGACGGTATGTTAAACGTCGCAAAATTTTTCTGGTTTAATTTTTTTTTGCGAAATCCGTTGCAATTTTCTTTTTTTTCTC